CTTGTTCATGCTTTAGTTTAGATGCATCAATGTAAATAAATTTAGTCCATTGAAGTCCTAAAGGATGAAATGCATCCCGTGAAAACCTTTTCTCATATAAAGCTGCTCTTACTAAATTCTGTGGTGTAACTCATCCAAGTATGCTTTACCCAAATGATTGTACCCCGACAAGCCATGTCTTCTTTTCCCAAGCCATTCTCGCCAGAGCATTAGAAGCCAGTTCAAGCAAGGATATAAAAGTGATAGAAATTTTAAGAGGATTTGAATAATCAAATTAAATTTGATGATTCAAATCCCCCAAAATTGCTATAACCATATATATATATATATGATGGACTCTCATCATCTTCAGCCTTCCAAAACTGAACAGTCACTAGACTACCTACACATATGATTTGCTTATAATGGTGATGGCTTCTGGAGAAGCATTTGCACTTTTTAGATCTGAATAAAGAGAATTGGAGCACATAGTGTGCCACAAAGACTCCAAACTTGATTTCAGAATTTTCCTTCTAGACTGGTTGCCTACCAAGGCTAAAAATCCTAGTCTGTCCTACTATTTAACCCAAAAAATGCATGTGAAGAGATGTATTCACAAGTGAATGCAATTTTTTTTGGTTTTGGTTGATTTTACATTTGTTTATATACACATTTAGAGATCCACTTTGAAAAAAACACTTACTTCTCACGACTTATATCTTGATTGTGAAAGCTTTCTGATTAGTTGGCCAAATTATGGCTTTGTTTGCCAGGCGATTTTTATTATTTATTTTTAGAGATGGTGAAATTTTAGTGTGTTGCTATTACTTATTTTTATTTATTTCTCTATGGTCAGTACTTAGATAGGTAACCTCTTGGGAATACCAGGTGCTATAAGTTTGGATGTGCAGGTGGTGTAATAAATAATAGTTTGGAATTGGAAATCAGAGACCTGAGTTACAAAACAAAATCAGGTTTGTTATATTCACTTATGCACAAATACACTTGGGAGAGGTATGAATCCACCTCTTCTCTCCCCAGCTGTTGGTTAATTAGTAGGACTTGTATCAGTAAATCATTATTATTTCCCAAAAAATTCTTACAATCTAAAAATATTTTTTTGGGCCTAAAGATTGTTAAGCTGTAAAAAAAACAAATAAAAAATATTAAAATATCTGTGTTTTTGTGTAATGTATTCATATCTAAAAAAAATTGCTTTTCAAAAATATCTTTTTTAAAATCATGTCCATTCAAAACATAGGTGATTATGACTCTCCACGACTTCCTTTTATTATCTAGGAACAATTAATTGCTATAAACTGTTCTTGGGAAATTTAGTGATGTTGCTGTTCTCTATTTCTTTGAATTCATAGTTGTCTTTCTCCTCGACTGGTTCCCCTAGAAAACCCAGTCTACCCTACTATTTTACTCACAAGATGAAAAGAGATGTATTCATGCTATTTTCAAGAACATTAGTGTAAAGTGAATGCTATATTTTCCAACCTACACAACCTGTTTTAAAAATGAAACATCTTACTTATTATAAAACGCAGATTGTGTGTGTGTGTGTGTGTGTGTGTGTGTGTGTCTGTACGTTTATATATTGGATCGGATTTCCTACATTTTTCAACTGATTTCAACAAAACTTCACAGGACTACGTAAAATTACCTTGCGGTGGTTCTGACAGCGCCCAAAATTGGAAAAACACAATTGTTTTTGCACGAAATCAATTTGCAAACACGTTTAAGTCACCAGAATGAAAGGAGGACAACTCATATCGAGTTATACTTATAAAACCCAGGTTGTTTGTGTGTGTGTGTGTGTGTGTGTGTGTGTTCGTTTATATATGGGATCGGATTTCCTACATTTTTCAACTGATTTCAATAAAACTTCACTTTTTTTTTGGCAGGTAGTGTTTCTTATTGTCGTGTACACTTTTTTCTTTATTTTTACATTCAGAATGCTTTAAAAATTCCATTTACAAGGCAATTGTTTATAATAAAATTCTATTCAATCGATAGACTCATAACGATTGAAAACAATGTTTTTGTGAGTTTGGGTTTGACCAATTCGTAAAAAAACCCTAAAAAAACAAAACAAAAACTAATTAAGACATGCATGTCCGTCAACCTTAATCAATAATCTTTGTCAATTTTATTTTTCAGTCTTTATGATGGTCGATACTTGATCTATCTCTTACTGTTACATCCACGGGCAACGCCGGGCTCTACTGCTAGTTATTAATAAATTTAAATGAATTCATTCACTTTTATTTCTGTAATTATTATTATAGATCCATAAAATTAACTTTTGTTATAATCTAATGACTTATATTTGGCATTAGTATGTCTCTTGGTTCAAGCTAGTTTATATAGCACAACATCAGTTAACTGTTCTGCTTGTAAAAAGTAGGAAAAATTTTGTTTTAAATAACTTATGTATTGTTCTAGTCTAATAAGGAATAGCTGCAAAAACATCCCACTTCCCAAATTTATAGACTAAACATGCAGATGCATGCTGGGATTTCTTCCTAGCCCATAAGATAGAGTACTTCTCGGTCTTATTACACTTAGTTCTGTTCTTTCTTGTCTTGAAGTCAGTACACTGCAATTACCTGTCTGAATTGTGTGTTAATACCTGTTATGGGACCTTACCCATAATAACATAATGGACTATTCCATACGTAATAAATACTGCGCCTCAAGAGGAAGCAAGGAGTTCAGTCTGAAGTCTGGAGTGAGGTCCGTCAGAAGTCTGTCAGGAGCCTGTCAGTCAGTCAGAGTGAGCGAGTCAGTCAGTCGAGTCAGAGGCAGTCCAAAACAGAGTCGCGTTCAGACAATTACTACAAGACATTGGAATAGTGATACTGGTCGAGACTACATTGTTCTCCTTACTAAACCTGATTGTTCATACTAACACTTTCTACTACTCTGTATATATTCCTGTTTGTAATATACCTGTGTTCGAGTTCTTCTTTATTGGTTCTACCTTGGACCATCACCATGGTACAAGGACCTGAACCATAACAATACCTTTCTTAGATTGTGAACATTTTGCCATATGATGGAGTAAATTGGATTGAGGAATCGGAGAGCTGAGTTTGAATTCCAATTGAATCCATTCCATTCACTTACGTGCGAATACCCTTGGGAAAGGTATGAATCCTCTTCTTCTCTCCCCAGCTATGGGTAAATAGCAGGACAGACTGGGTTCTATAGCCTTGGATGGTAACTAGTCTACCACAGAAAGTAATGGCAACCTACTGCGGGAAAAAAATCTGTTTTGTCAGTCATGTATTGAAAGATACATGATCACCTAAGTGTGTATCACACATGGCACATAAATGACTGTTGCTTTGCCTTATTACTGTTAACTTGGCTTGCATATATTGTTTGCTTGCTTAAAATTATTTTTGCCCTGTTTTTTTCTTTTCTTTCTTTCGTTATTGTTCATTGTAAATTATGTTAGTTTTGTTTGTTGAGCATTTCTGACAATTATATTTCACCAACTCCAATTATTCTGCATGTAAATTAGCATTTAATATTTATTAGAATAAAAAAATATTGACCATTTATCATTTTAGAAGTAGGGTCCTATTTATCATGTAAATAATAATGCTAACTTCTTTACATGATAAATATATCAGCACTGTATCAGATTTGACATTTGTAAATAAAAACAGTTAGAGTTATTTGTACTTTGTTTTTATTTTCAAATGTCAAGTCTGAAATAGTGCTGATATCATTGATAACTGCATACTATTTATTTTCCCAATTCATAGTCATATGCTGTTATTAATGATGTAAACACAATTCCAATTTATGGGTAGAGGAACATTCTAATAAATTCTAATGTACAAAGATTATTCCCCCGCTCCAATTTTTTCCATATTTTGGGGGGGAGCAGACCATATAGCCTCATTAATGGTGTTTGTATATCTATCCATTCATTCATACATACACCCACAATCACAATATTTTAAGTACGTATTTTTCTTAATTCTTTTTTTACTTTTATACATATGTATATGTATATAAATGCATGTGTGTATATATATATAAATGTGTGTGTGCGTGTGTGTGTATATATATATATATATATATATATATATATATATATATATATATATATATATGAGAGAGTGAGAGAGGCATTCATTAAATGGGTTACTGAGTACTCAAAAGTTATTGGTCTGTATTTTTGGTCGTAGATAAAAGGAGTCACAAATTGTTTAAGTCTAGTGAAACTGTGACTGCAAATTATTACAGTTGTCACTTTTGAAATTTGAGCTGTTCAGTTGAAGTGAAAAAAAGGGTATTTATAGGACATGGAACGTTGTAAGCCATATTCATCCCACGCATTGCTTTGTCAAACCCCAAACCATCCTAGAGATGGGATGGGAAATTCTTCCTCACAATTCACATTCACTAATGCAACATTAGATGATTATTTGATTTAATGAATTTAGAATTCTTTATCTGATCAAATTTTAAAAATGTTTTTGGACATTCAAAATTTCATTATATCAACTTTAATGTGTCAAAGGTGTAGTTATTATCTTATGATGAAATTCAAAAACTGTGCATCACGCTCATGTGAAGTCAAGAAAAACGTTTTCATAATTAATATATATGTGTATATAATTAATAAATATATGTAAGTAATTAACTAATTTAGGGGGAAAGAAAGAACAATTTCCTTTTACTCAACAAGCAGAAAACAAATATGTAAATATTCTCTTTGTGAGCTTCAAAGTGACCAGTGAGAAATAATTTTGGGTTCAGGTTAAAATGAGATTTTCTTTCTTAATGGACTGAACATGTGAGTAATGGCAAAGTTTTAAGAAAAATGGAAACGAAAATGACACATCTTCTTAAAATCAGCAAGAGACAATTGAAATTTCTAGGGTACATAATGAGAAAAGAGGGCTTAGAGAATTTGACAATCACAGGGCATATTGAACACAAAAGGAAGAGAGAAAAGCAATACCTACCTAACAAATACCACCTGCATATCCAAGCTTACAGCAACTGGTATTCCCAAGTGGTCACCCATCTAGGTACTGATCAGGCTCAATGTTGCTTAACTTTGGTGATGGCATAAGAAACAGTGTTTTAACATATGACATGACACATAGAAGAGTAATTGAACCAAAAGCTTAGGAAATTTGAACAGATTGATTAATCGTGTCATCTGATAAATTACTCAGAATTTCCCATGTTTCACCAGACATTTCACACATTTTTTTAAAATCACTCCACCAACAAATAAAAAACCTTATTTTTTCTTTCTTCTTTTGAGAAAGCCATTTTAGAATTTACATTCAGTGAACTTTGGAGGAGTGCCTCATATGCCAATTCATTCCTATTTAGTACGAAAAAACATTGTGAGTGATATTTGCTGCACACTTGTTGAGTCCAAATAAAGAATTCAGAATGTTTAATTAATAAATTTAATTTTTTTAATCATTTCACTCCAAGAAAGGCATTAAAGCCACTAAGATACAAGGGTAGGTACTGAGTGTGAAAGAATATGTGAAAAAGAAAAAAACATTATTAAGGGGGAGAGAGACCAATAAAAGAACATGATTTAAGAAAACAGGAGATAATGATTGACATTGCATTGAAATTTTTGAAGATCAAAATTGACTAGGAGGCATGAAGCCAGGAGAGAGTTCCACAAGTGAGAAGTGCAAGAGAAAGAACGAAATGTGAGACCGTGTTGCCATTCTAGTGGTGTCGTAAAGTTAAGATATCAGAACAGTTACCTTGAAAATATCAAAAGGTTATAGGGAGGCTACTTTAGAGTGGCAGGAAAGGGACTGAAGCCAAGATGCTACAAATATCTTGCTGTTTGATTAGTTATAACATATTTAGTATTGGAAACTGAAAGAGGATATGTTGCCCAAGGATTACTTTTGTTCAACATTGTTAGATGCTACAAAACCACATTATTCACCTGAAAATTTGAGTCATGTTCTTAAATAGCCTTATCAAATCTAGATTCTTATATGAATATCATGCACAGCATCCAAATCATTCCGAAATATCTCTATCTATAAAAAGTAGGATGTGTGTATGTGTGTAACGAATGCACGGCTGTAATTTTTGATGGATTTGCACCAAAATTTACATGCACATGCTCCAAGTTAGCAGGAAGGCCAATACTGACTTTGCATTTCCCAACTCCCATCGATAGTGGAAATAATCGATTTTTCATGCTTCTACGGCAGTTTTCATGTAGTTTGTGGCTATTTTTTACTGGCCAGAGTGAGAGCCAAGAGCTGGCTGCCACGAATAGGCAGAAAGATTCTATTGGCCAGCGTGAGAACCAACAGCTGACTGACACGAATGTTAACTAGCATGCTAGCATGCAAGAAAAATCGATAGCTGCATTCATCACAAGTGGGAAAAATTTAAATCTGCATGGCACTTTACTCCAATTGGCTTATTCGCTTGCTTAAACTCAATATTGATTCTGATTCCGCAGAACTGGGTTGGGTGTGAAAAAGTATTTGTTGTTAACATTCTTTTTTCATTTGGTTTTTCCAGTTACGAGTCCTTTTTTTAAAGTGGATTGTTTTGTGTTCATTTTGTTTGTTCTTTTTTTGTAACAGATTTAATGTTTAGTATAGAGCTTAGAAAAAATTCGCAGTGTGAGATAGGCAAGAAGTAAGGCATGTAGCAACATCAGCATGCCAAAGGGCACACTTTTAAAGGCAAGGAAGGGAAAAAATATTTTAAGTCAAGTGATAGCGATTGCTGTATGAGTCGTACGATTTTTGAATCAAGCACGGGCAATGCCGGGCCATGCTGCTAGTTCTATATACAACCATTTTCCCAGATCAATGTTTAAAAATCGCTACAAGCATATGAACCCTTTTACATCTTAAAAAAGACACTTCTTCATCAGACTTTTAACTATTACATGGGGTTACTTAATTAACACTTTTAACTAAGTAACCCCATGGGAGAGTGTCTGTTCATACATGTGCAGTAAAGTCCTCTTTGATTGGTTGTCAAGTTACATGAATGTCATGCAACTGGCTTTCAAGGTATTTAAAATGGCTGGATGCTTTCCAGATAAGCCAAGAGGCTCTTTCCAAAATATTCTGATATTTGGTAATTTGGTCAGATTTTGTCAAGTGTGGTGGGTGAGAACTTTTCAGCACTCACTTAATATTTAATAATGGAATACAAAGGGAATGAGGAAGTTGCAAAGGTCAGTTCTGGTGGAACCAAATAATGTTGTTCAGAATATTTATCAGAACACTTTAATCTTAAAGAAAACATTCCTTCAGCAACACCTATAGTCTGGCACTACAAAATCACAAAGGATTTTACAAATGAAGACTTCTAACAGCAACAATAAGTAAAATGGGTTGCACATGTAACTAGAAGAGAAAATAATGATATAATGAAGATGTTGATATTCCATACTACTTTAAACAAAAGGTTTGGAAGGAAACTTCCATCAATACTAGAAAGAACTATAACAGTGAACTTGAGAAGTCTAATTTCATGACAAACTGTTTCAAGAAAAAGATTTTATAAATTTCAACTGTCAATGAATGCCAAATGTTTCCTGTATGGAAACAGATATTTAATACCATTACCATTATCATACCATTGCCATCAACACTGAAAGAGTGATAACAGTTAGTGGGCTTAAGAAGCCTAATTTTCTGAAAAATTGTTTTAAGAAAAAGATTTTATACATTTCAAAAGAGAGTAACACTAAGTGTTCGGTCAATGAATGCCAAATGTTTCCTGTATGGAAATGGCTATTTTCACCATTAATATTACACATTATGCAGCTCACTCAGTGAAATTTCACTGCTACTTAGTAACTCCATGGGAGAGTGTCTGTTCATACATGTGCAGTAATATCCTCTGTGATTGGTTGTCCAGTTGCGTCAAGGTCATATAATTACATTTCATATTATTTACTAAAGAAATATAAATTTAAAAGATTTTCAAAATATTTTTTAGAAGACTCATGGGTGACCTAAATGCCAAAGTAGGCAACACATGTGAAGAAATGGAAAAGTCCAGGAGGAGAAACAAAAAAAACAAACAAATTGACTATATAACTATCAATAAGAGATTCGGGAATGCAGTTTTATGCTTCAAAACATACCCAAGTGCCAACCCGAGTGCCGAAATATGAAGAAAGAGAAAAATTCCATTAGAAACAAAGAAAAGAATATGGCAGTGAATGCTGGACAATCTCCTCACAGATGAAGAAGAGACTTAAAGTAACAGAAATGTGGTTCTACAGAAGGATGCTGAAAATACCATGGAATGAACATGTGAGCAATGACAAAGTTTTAGAGAAAAAGGACACTTATAATTAACATCAGAAAGAGATGGTTGAAATTTCTAGGCTCCATAATGAGTAAAGAGGTTTTGGAAAGTTTGATATTCACAGGACAGATTGTGCCACATGTAAGGTATGCTTAGAAAATCATTTGGGCATTTTGACATGCTGTAATGTTTAGCAAGCTTGTCTCAATTATGACTGAATAGTGAGTTTGATCCTCACTGGGTGCCTCATACTTTCAGCCTCGTGCCATATTAAGCTACACTTAGAAAACTACCACATAGTATTTACAAAGTCAGTTGATAGGTATATAGATAGAAAATAACAACAAAGATAAGGATAATAGTCTGAATATAAATAATGGTTTCTCATACCAGAAATTCAGAAACTTTTTAGGGATGATTCAACGAGTGAAGTGCAGATAAAATATTGTTTACTGATGCTTCAAACTTGTCCGAGAATCCACTGAAAGTGATCTGCATTCTGGAATGCCTTCAACAAGTAGAACAACTGAAAATTTTGAATGTGTGTTTGCTGCAAAGAAAATTGAAAACCGAAAGGAGGAGAAGAAAATCTTGGGATTCTGCAGACTGTCCTGAAAATGTCCAGCTATTTGGAATATCTCAACTGCCCATTTTTGATGCCGGATATTTTGGTAAAAAAAAAAAAAAAAAATGCATCACCCATGTGCCAGCCTTCACTTCTTTTGTATTCCAAGACCTTTCAAGATTTATGGCTCTCCACATATTCTTGTCTTTTGCTACTTTAGGAAAAATTGACTTCTCTGTCTTTGTTCCATTTGTGCTCTCCATAGTATTCTTTGCATTCATCACTGAAGAAAAACTAACAATATTTGGATTGGATATGGATAAGGTTCTGAATAAAAGATTGGGTCTATTTCCATTGTTTGTACTGTTGTCCTCATCTTTGTTGCAATATTCATGATGTTTCGGCTGTTATATGTTGCAGCATTCTTCAGGTAATTGGAATTTTTAATTGAACCCTTTATTTCATTTCATCCATCAGAGTAGAGTGTTCTAGTTCCATGTGCCGTGCCTCTTCTGGATGTCTCAGTATCAGTTATCTCCCTTTAACTCAACTCTCCAAGTTTTTTTGTTCACCTCAGCTGCAGCCAGGTATTGAACTCATAACTTTTTGCGTCAACCAATCCACTGGGCCATGTGTCCTTGAGTTAAAGGGAGATAACTGATACCGAGACATCTGGAAGAGGCATGGCACGTGGAACTAGAGCACTCTACCCCAGTGGATGAAATAGAGGGCTCAGTTCAAAATTCCAGTCACCTGAAGAAGGTTGGAGTATACAACTGCCGAAACATTGTGAATATGGCAACAAAGATGAGGAAAGTAGTCGAAAAAATGTAAATAGTGTAAGTAATTACAATACCTCATCTCAGAAATATAGACAAAGATTGAACCTAGTTACCAAATATAAACACATAAATAAATATATACTGAGTTATCGGCTAAGGGGTGGTATCCTTGCCTGTTTAGCTGATATTTTCTCCTTTTCTCTGCCCAGACTTTTTTTTCTCTCTCTCATGGGTTTTATTCTTTGCTTATTTTCACTTTCTCTTTGCAGGCTATTCTATTTATGGGTTAATTTTCCATTCACAAAGTAGTATATTTACAAGGATCATTTTTCTTCTTTCTTTTTTTTTTTCCATTTGCTGAGGATTGCTTTATATCATGAAACTTGTAGTTATGGTAAAGTTTTGTGTCTTTGAAGTTTTGGGATTGGATTCCAGCATCTATTTTAAGTCGGTTTTCATACAGTT